TTTTTTTTGAGAGGTTTTCACTATAGGGCGCGTGCGCTCGCCAGACAGACAGAGAGAAACAGAGAGACAGAAAGTGAGAAATCGCCCCCCAGGGGGGATGGTCACACCACAATCCCTTCTCCTCCATTCTCCTCTCGGGATCTTGGGCATGCACGCACACGTGCCTGGCGTGAGATTTAAGCCACCGGGTCGAGACGCGAACCGCGGTCAACTACGTGGGAGTCCAGCGACATAGCCATTACATAGCCATTACACTAACTGCTGGTTCCCACGAGAATTCTTTAAGCAATGAAACTAGTCATGAGCACAAAAAAGAGTGAGACTAGATTCGATTGTTCTTTCATAATATGGAAGCATCTATATTGAAACCATTATTGAGAGACTAAAGAAAGGCTTCTTTTAGAACCACAAGAACCTCAGCATAACTTATACCCCGCAGAACAAGCCCAATGTTTGTGCTTGCTTCATACATGCCATCAAACCAGCTCCACTGGTGTCTAGGCCTGATCTAAATCTGAAAAATAAAGAATTGCAGGATCTGAAGTAGAATCCTGCTTTCTTAGCAGCAAATTTCTAATGCAGTTTTACTCCATGTGTAGATTTATTGATCTCCAAATTGCTCTGTCCTTTCTTTCAGATGGCCTGTTTGAATCAGACTACATTTGGATCGTGTTTTTGGGTTTACTTCTGGGTATAGTTTTGGTTTGCATCGCTATGCACCTTTATATTTTGCTTTCCATAAAAAAAGGTAACTGATGCAACAAGATTGGAATCATTAATGGTATCTCTCTTAAGTTGATACCTAAATCACATGGGGTGTTTGGGCGAAGCTGAATGGCTTTTGTCTCCCAATCCCATGCCTTACACAGAGATTTATGGCTGGTTTCTCACTTTGTATGTGTTGAACTTTATACTTTGGAGCTATGACTTCCCCAGACAATGTTTTCAGAAAACAGTTCAAAATAGATGTCTCCTGAGCTTTTTAGATCCACAGTTGCTTCTATACTCCCAAAGAAGTGATTTCTTTCTTAAAGAGTTCAGTCAAAATGAAATGAATCCAAACTCTGTTTCGTTAAAATCATTTACTGATGGATTGATAAATCCTGTGAGTCTTTCCATAGAAGGCACTTAATCTATCATAATCTTCCTGTTGACTCAGATTGCCATTAGTTTTCAAGATTACAACATCCTTTATTTAGGGTCTTAAGTAAAATTAATATAAAAAAGCGATAGGTAGATAAACGAACAGCAAATTTTTTATAACCATACTGTTCCTTTTGCTTTTGTGGCTAAACTAAATGAATATATCACCCACCTGAAATTATACACTGATCGTTAAGTACAGGAGCATCAGATAATTTTTAAAACAACCCTTTATGAAACCTATGACCAAGTAAAATATATCATATGTTAAGTAATACTGCTAGAAGGGAAGGATGTGAATTCAGTGACTGAGCAATTTAACAGACAATGACATAGTTAACTAACAAAATAGGGTTGATAGGATGCAGAGTAATGGAGTAAGGATAAAATCTACCATAAACTCAATGATTCCTTGAGTCAAAGGAGAAGTTATAATCTACCATGACCATTTCTAATTCTTAAACCCACATACCACATTTCTGGAGTATATACCTCACATTAGGCATTGTGATAATAATTTTCAGAATTTATCCAGATTAGTCCTAAAATCCTATTACTATCACCATTCTATTGATACGGGTGTTGTGGAATACATAGCTTATAAATGGCAGAACCAAGATTGGATTATAGACAAGTTTTGCTGCACATTTGATGCTATAATCAATCACACTATGATTTCCAATGTTTGGTTTCAAGTTTGTACTTGTTTATCTGCATGTTTAATAAGGTCATTTAGCCTTGAGACAGCTTATTCTATAATAATTGGGAAATATTTCTTCCATTTTGATACCAAACTATTTCTATACAATATCTGCACTTATAATTCTGGAACCACAAAAACTAAGTCTTTGTTTTCCCCATGAGATGATAACTGCTTTCCAGAAACTTCTCTAAAAGTATCTCCAGTTACTTCAACTTTATACATTTTTAGTCATTCTCTTCTGGAATGTGATATAAATCAAAGCTATTTTAAGGATGCATATTTCAGAAATATATAGGAAAATATTTTAGTGATCTCTGTTTAGCTTGTAGAAATGTTCTGTTTAGATTGCCTTGTCTCTTGGCAATTCAAGTTGAGAGGTGTAAAACATGTTTCCTGAACTACTTTAAAAGAGCTAGGCCCTTCTATCTCTCATTCTGTGGATCCAAAGTGATTCTTAACTTTCATCCAAGTCAGAGCCAACTATCTCTATCAAAGCCCCCAAACCTCAGAATCTCTGAAAATCTGATGAGGATTCCTAAAGTGTCTTTCCAGTCACCCAGTTAGATTAATTTTGTGCTAGATTAGGTGGTGAAAATTAGGAGAAGAAATTCCTCTTAGTCTCACTGGATCTCCAAATCCAGTCTCTCTAGGACCTGTCATCACTCACAAACTGAACTCACAGCATGAGCCCTACTTAGGTTGAGTGGGTGTGGGGTTAGTGATTTCTGCCTTTTAGGATAGCTGTCCTTAGGCTAATGATGCACCACACTCCTGCCTTCCTCTTTATCAATTCCAGCTCTCTCTTCTAGGGCGTCGGTCTCAAGATCATGTTTTAATCTCAGTGGTTCTTCAATTCCTGTATATAGTAAGCTCTTCTCCAGTGCCACTTATATACATGAAGTTCCGGAGCAGAGGTAAATGGGCTTAGTGTGGTGAACTCTCCTGTGGTTGCTGTCATTTTCCTGAAAAATCTGTCTCTTGGGGGTTGTTCAGTCAAAAATTATGTGTCCAGGAAGAATGATGGTTTGGGTAACATCTCCAGGAAGAATGATAGTTTGGGTGACATCTTGGAGGATCAAATTCCACTAAGATTATACTGAATGTCAAGGACAAAAGCTATAAATGCTGCCGTTTGGGCTGGCCATGGCCTGGTGGTTAAAGAAGTTGGATCCTACCTACAATGTCCCCATTTAATATATACCAAGTATCTGCACTCTATGACTGAAACTGATTGACTAAAATATATACAAACACAAGAGATGGGCGTGAATGCCAGATGTGGGGTGTGTGGAGGAGTGGGGCCTAGGGAAGGACATTTGGAGGAGGGATACAGAGGCAGAGCATTGACAGGATGGGGAGGTGTGGTGTTATCTCTTGAAGATATTTTGACCAACTGGACTGGGGAGAAAGGTTCACATATTGAAATGTTCACTTTGTAAGCAAAACAATGTGATTGAATGTATATAAATTAATTAATTTAAAAAAAGAAGTTGGATCCTACCTGACCAATTGTACAATTAGAATCCCAGACCCAATGGCTTAAAACACATGCCAGGCACATGTATACACGTGTGCCCAAAATCCTGAAAGGAGAGGAAAATGGAGGAGAAGGGACTGTAGTGTGACTATGCCTCGTGGCGGGGGTGGTGGTGGCGGTGGTGGTGGTGGTGGTGGTGGTGGTTGAGGGGGGGGGTGCTTTCTCACTTTCCTTTTCGCTTTCTCCAGCAACTGCACATACCCTCTGGCAAAATTAAAAATAGAACAAAAATGCTAACAGGTTTTCAATTGTATAGAAAGAGCAGAACACCTGCTGCTGCAAAAAGAAAAATTATACTGGTATCAAAAAATATGATTGGAGGAACCAGCAGTTAGCGTAATGGCTATGTCGCTGGACTCCCCCGTAGTCGACTGCGGTTCGCGTCCCAGACCCGATGGCTTAAAACTCACGCTGGGCGTGTGTGCGTGCGTGCCCAAGATCCCGAGAGGAGAATGGAGGGGAAGGGATTGCAGTGTGGCCATCCCCCCTGGGGGGTGATTTTTCGCTTTCTGTCTCTATGTCTCTCTCTGTCTTTCTGGTGAGCGCACGTACCCTATAGCGAAAACCTCTCAAAAAAAAAAATATATGATTGGGTCCAGCAACTCATTTACATTAAACGTTTTCTGGGTCCTCTTAACTGTTAGTGTACATTCATGACTCTAGATAAGGAGTCCTCAGTTCTGTGACCATGGACCAGTGCCAGTCTGTGACCTGTTTGGGGCCCAGCCACATTGGCCTTCTGAGCCATGCAGTGGGGGCTGGACAGTGGATGAGTGAGCAAGACCTCACCTTTATTTCTGTGTAATGTAATTCATTCTCAGGTTCCAAAAGTTAGAGGCGAACAGCTTTGAAATGCAGCCTAAATACTGCAGTCTGTTGACTCCCAAAGAGTCACATCCTCCCAAACACAAAATTTACCCAATTCATCCTAAGATTCCCCCAAACTTTAACCATTGCAGCATCAACTCACAGTTGATAATAAGATTATTAAATAATTTATAGTTGTTGTATAAGTTAATTGAATTTATTCACTTTCAGTGGTAAAGCAATGACTTTAAAGGATATATTCGTACTACAGGTAAAGTAATAATAGTAAACATTATTTCAGCTAATTTTCTCTCCCTAGTTTACAGTCTCATTAATTTCCTGATTTTTGCACATTTTTTAGTCTCTATTCCAGATCCTTTATTTCTCTTGTACAGTGATTGGATGTGGGATATGGCAATAGTGGTATTTATTATGGTGGCTTTTTTCACCATTCTAATCTTCATCTTATACCTCACAGTAAAAGGTAAGTGGACAGGAAGAGTCCTGATCTTGCGATTACTTTTCTTCCAGTATAGATTTCTTTCACATTCCCTAGTAACTCCATTTATTGACTGATTATTAGTCCAAGAATCACTGTCTCCAGAGGAAAAACAAGATAAATCCCAAAATATGTTTTCTCAAGTTATGAATTAATATTCAAAAGTTAAGTTATAATTTGTCCTTCTTTGAGTAAGCTTCTTGCTATCTCGAGTGTGCAAGTGAAGTTGACTTAGGATGTTTCTTTCCTGTCTTTTAGCTAGTAACATAAAGAATTATACCTGTGCTTCTCAGATTTATCATTTTCTTCTTACAACATATGGGTCAAATTTTCTGTTGATAATTCTATTCCTAACATCCTCCAAACAAGAACACTACAAGTTTTCTCCAAATGCATTTTGTGATGTTGCTTTTCACATTGATCAATTTTTCTCGTTTTTATGTATTTCATTCACTGAAAATTACTAAGATTTACTCTATTTGGACATTCTTCAACTCTGTTCACCCTTCAAGGACTTTCACCATTTCTCCACTTTTGTTCAACTAGAGAATTCTACTAAATAATTCTAATAGATAATTAGAGATAGATAATAGATAATCAGAGATAATTCTAATTTTGTTCCCCAAATGTTGTTTCTACTCTAAACATGTGTCAACATATCCTTATACATCTGTTATCACCAAAAAAAAAAATTCCTATAGTGAGATTGTGTTTTATAAAGCCATGAATAATTCTCATTATTTTCTTAATGTAATTTCTATAAGAGAACATTGAGCATCTTACATGTATCACTAGATATTAGAAGAAAAAATGATAATGTATATTGAATTCTGAGGTGAAAGATGTTTTGAGCTTACGATTTTTCTCATCCCAAATAATTTATTTTAAGTAAGATCAAAATATAGCCAAGGACTTGTAAAATGCACTATTACTGGAACCAGCAGATGGTGTAATGGTTATGTTGCTGGACTCCCGTGTAGTTGACCATGGTTCAAATCTCAGAACCGGTGGCTTAAAACTGATGCTTGCACATATGCATGCAATCCCTAGAGGAGAAGATTGCAGCATGGTTATCCCCCTGGGGGTTGATTTCTCACTTTCTGTATCTCTGTTTCTCCAGTAAGCACATGCATCCTCTAGCAACCCCACCTAAAATCTGCACTATTACTATAGAATTTATAAAAATTATATAAGAGAGACCAACAGATGGCATAGCAGTTATATCGGTGGACTCTCACAAGGCTGACCAAGGTTTGAGTCCTGGACACAGCAGTTTGAAAATCACTCCAGGTTTTTGTGCATGTATGCCCAAGATCCCAAAAGGAGAATGAAGGAGACAGGATTGCAGCATGGCTATTCCCCCTCGGGAGTGCTTTCACATTTTCCCTCACACTGTCTCTCTGTCTTTCTCTCTTTTTCTCTGGTGAGTTCATGCACCCTAAAGCAAAAATCTCTTATAAAAATTGCATAAATGATTTCCTCAAATGGAAATGAGAATAACCAATAAATAAGAAATAAATATTATAACTCAATCAGTGAAGTACTCATTTAAAAATAGTTATATTATACTTGCAAATGTAATGACTATTCAAATACAGGTATTTAAGATATAGCCTAGTTATTGAATATCAATGACTATTAATATCACAGAAAGAGAGACAGAGATCATATTTTTCTGGATATAAGAGTGACACTTTGTTAAGCATTCCTGATAAAACATAAAACAAAAAGCAATAATAACACATACATAAAAATAGAACCTAAACCTGATCAAGCTTCTATCCTAACCTCCAATTTATAGGACATAAGATAACAAGTAATTATAAAAGTGATGACAAAGATGCCTTCAACAAAAGGTAGAGAAAACACTATAGAACAAATTATCCAAGTTCTTTACTATGTTGCAAAAATAGAAAAAGAAAAAGAAATGAGAAATGCAAAGGTCTATAATTCAAGAGATATATATAAAAGGCATATCAACTAATCACAATCTGTTCATATATTTGAATATCTATTTAAACCAATAAACTATTAAATAATATTGACTTTTTAAAAATTGGGAATACTGTACTTCTAATGCTATTAATGAATGAATAATTTTAGGAGTAATAATGGTATTCTACAATGAGAAATTTTTTTGAGAGGTTTTTTTTGCTATAGGGCACGTGCACTCGCCAGACAGACAGAGAGAGACAGAGAGACAGAAAGCGAGAAGTCATCCCCCAGAGGGGAAGGCCATGCTGCAATCCCTTCTCCTCCATTCTCCCTTGGATCTTGGGCACTCATGCACACGTGCCCGGCGTGAGTTTTAAGCCACCGGATCCGGGACGCGAACCATGGTCGACTACATGGGAGTCCAGTGACATAGCCATTATGCTAACTGCTGGTCCCAAGAATGAGAATTTTTTATTATAATGTTCTAAAATATTTATAAGTTAAGTGATATGTTGTCTAAGATTTGCTTCAAAGTAATATGGGAAAGATGTGGAGTGGTTGAGCATATAGTTAAAATAAAACTGGCAATAAGTTGCTATTAATTTCATGTGATAGTAACATGAATTGTACTAATGTTTTCATTGTTTTGTATATTTATAGAATAGATTGTGGTAGTAAAGGTTAAAATCAAAAGTACCATGATAAGGATTCTCAAAAAAGGGGACAAAAGAAAGAAAAGGACCTAAAAGTGTGTCTAGAAGAATGATATAGTCACAGAGATTAATTAGAAAATTAGTTGATAAATTAAATATCACATCAAATAGTAAATTGTTAGAGTATATGGTACAGTAACAGTAAAAATGAATAAATAAATAAGACATTTTCAATAGGGGTTAAAATTCATGCATTGCAGAATAAGAAATCCAGTCCAGCCTCAGTGGTCCAGGTGTTAGCAAGCTGCTCTGCCATGCAGGAGCTACATGGCTGACTGGCATTCAGATCCAGGGTCATTTGCAACACACTCAGTGCACGTGCCTATGATACTGTTTGGCTGGAAGGCTGGGGGAAGGAATAGTGGTGTAAGGAGATCCTGTGGTGGGTGTCTGTCTCTTGCACACATTTTCTCTTGTGCTTCATCTCATTGTCATTTACTTGTTCTCTGTCATGAAAGAAAAATATATATAAATTTAAAAAAAGAAAAAGGAGAGGCCAGAAAGTGGCATGGAAGGTAAAGTGCTGAATTCCCACATGGCCAACCATGGTTTGAATCCCAAACTTGGCAGCTTGAAAATCATGCTGAGAGCATGTGCATGCATGCCCAAAATCCTGAGAAGAGAATGGAGGAGAAGGGATTGCAGTATGGCCATCCCGTGATTTGTCACTTTCCCTCTCACTTTCTCTCTCACTCTGTCTTTCTCTGGCAAGCAAGTGCCCTATGGAGGGAAAAATAAAAAAACCTAGTAACAAAAAAAAAAGCTTAAATTAAAAAGAACAAGAACTCCAACAGAAACTTAAGTGTATTTACAAAAAAAAAAAAAGAATAACTGTATTTGGAGGGGTGATATTTTTTAAAATAATAGCATTTTCCCTCAGAATTGAGGAAAGAGATTAAACTCTAGTTTTAAATAAATAAATAAATAAATACAAACAAAAGAGTGCCAGCAAATATATAGTGATTAGAGAAAAACAGTTGCTTTACTCAGACTTCAGTGAAACTCCAGGGCACTGTATACACAAGTAATTGGGTAATTGTCACATAAAACCAGCACAACATACTGTCTGGTTAAGTAAAAGGAAAACAAAACAAACAAACAAAAACAACCAGCAGGGGCCAGAACATAAAAGAAAAAAGCTTCATACTTTTAGGGAGAAACTTATAAACCTGGAGTTATATAACCAAGAAGTGACGTGAAACTTTCTATACAGACACTGCGAATTTTAGAAATTCCTGAATACTAATTTGCCCAAGCAAACCTTCTGCCTGGCTAAGCAAACAGCTCACCTCTCTGGACGACAGATTCTACACTTGGGCAAACAGCTTTCTTCCAAACAACAGTTCAATAATCACAATTATTTTGAAGATCCTTACTAGTTTGAATTATTATATTATGAATTTTGCCCAATTCCAGTTCACCAGTTGAAAAAACAAACCAATAACAAAACCCCACTTTAAACTACTTGTGCTTAGACCCCTCAAATTCTTCAAATACTTTCCATTTACCTATCCCTTCTGAGAGAGTTCTTACTAAGACTGTCAGGAGGATAGTTTCTCTTTTATTAGTAGGTTTAAATTCAGTTTCACTTAACAAACAGATTATTCTCATGGTCTTTGTGGATTAAGTATAAAAATGTAATCCAACCATACTGTTAAAAGTTGGAGTCTTTGGGAAGAGATTAGGATTAAGGTCAACAGAGTGGTGCCCTGTGATTAACTCCTGGTGGGTTATAAGGAGAGAGAATGAGATCAGAACAGAGAGAGAGAGAGAGAGATGCATAGACACAAATACACACTCCTTTGCCCTCTGGTATGTTATGATCCAGTCCCAAGACCCTCATTAAGTGTAGTCCCTTGATCTTGGACATCCCAAACCATGCACTGAGTAAATCTCTATTCTGGTAATTCATTCAAATTAGGTTTGTCTGCTATTAGCAACAAAATGGAATAGAGCACCTGAGAGAACTCTAGAGGATAGGGTTTGGATTTCTATTTTTATAGGTGTAGGAATGAATAGTATGATAATTTTGGTTCCTTTCAACTCTTTGAACACTTTAAAATGAAATCCATGGAAAACTATTATAGATAAACTATTTTACCTTCTGAAGTAATAAAAGAACAAAATCATTGTCAAGATAGCTGTTACAGGAACAGTAGTAGAGGATTATTTGATGAATATAGACTTATTTAATGCCTAACATTCATTACTCAGGAATTGAATAATCCTTCAGTGAAGAATGGGTAAAAATGAGAAATTTTAAAAGATAGATTTGGGGCTTTAAGTACTTTGCAATTTTAGTCTACAAAGTTAATTTTGAATTTCTATTTCTATGAATCTTTAAAAAATATTTGTTGTTCATTTGCCAGAAAAAAATTTAATCTCATAACTTTAATTTCTCCCAGAAAATATTGATGACAGGCACCATTTTTTTTCATTTTTACATGACTCCAAATCTTATTTTGTAGCATCTCTGTATTTTCATTGTCTCATGCCATTTGAATTGCTATAACAATACCATAAACTGGATAGTTTATAAACAATGAAACTTATTTCTCACAGTTCTGGATAATAGGAAGTCCAAGATCAAGGTATGGGCACATTTTATGCCTGGAGAGTACCCATTTCTCAAAGGCGGTGCCTTCCTACTGTATACTCACATATAGTGGAAAGACAAAGCACGTCCCCTTAGGTCTCCTTTATAAGGGGGCTAATCCCATTCATGAGTGTTTCACCCTCATAAACTAATCATTTCCTGAAAGGCCCCACTTCCTAATACAGTCATATTGGTGGTTGAGATTTCAATACATGAATTTACACACACACACATACACACATGTGCCACTGTCTGGCCTTTCAGCATTTGAATTTTAGAGAGACAAAATTATTCAGATTGAGGCAGTCATTTAGTATGACTCTAGAACCTCTCACAAATTGTTTTGCAGAAAATAAATGGTCATATTTTAAAAAAAACATAAAGATAGTTTTAGCTCTTGGATTGTACTTTTTGCCACTTTAAAAAGTACTTAATTATAAAATAATGGTAGAAGAACAAAATTAAGAGGCACATCAGAGAAACTCCTGAGTTTTAACAAATGTGTTTATATTTATAGTAAACCCAATTTCCTTTACTAATCAGAATTAATAAAAGAAACTTTCTATCTGCTATTTTAATGACACGAATATCCCAAAATATTCAGGTAGTAGTTTAAATTTCTAGTTCAATAGAACTATTTATGTTTTTTGATCAAAGAAATTACTCTTAAGTGCCAATAATTGTACATTAGCAGATTTCCTTGTTAAGGAATGGAAAGCAACAATGTTTGTAAGAAGTTTGAAGTAGTAACTGTAGGAAATGCAGCTCTCAATTAATCTGTTAGGTTCCCAGACTCACATGTCCTGGCTGTGAAAGGAACAGTATCATATGTTGGTTCCCAAATTGTCTCTCTCCTCTTTGCCCCCCCCCAGCCCTGCCTTACATAACAATGTAAGCTCTCTGTGGTCAAAAATTTGAAGTAAGAGAAAGAGACTAATATTTGCTAGCAGATGGTATATAAAAGAATACTTGGGGAGGGCTGAATTGAGATTTATGTGTGACTAGTGTGCTGGGCATTTGCTTTTCAACAATTTAAATAGTAGACATGTAAATAGTTTCTTAAAAATATTTAAAACCATACTGTTTCTGTTGTTATAGAGTCACAAACAAAATTATACAAAAAAATCTTAGAAATATTTTGAATATTATCTTAAAATCCAGTATTTTGAAATTTTGAAAGTTGTTTATTACTTATCAAGAACTATGGAGTATGAGTTAAAATTTCTTGACGTTTAAAGTAAATGTTTGTGGAAAAATGTGAAAATAAATAATTTTTTTAAAAAAATTATCATTTTTACTTTCCACTGTAGTAATCCTAGCATATCAAATATTGTCTGACATCTCATAGGTGTTCAATAACTATTTGTAGTATGAATGAAGAAAACCAGTGAGAAATAGTAAACTTACTACTGCTGTTTTATTTACCTTTCTTTAAAAGGAATTAATTGTAAAGCTTGGTTGTTACGGTGCTGGGATACCATACAGCAAATCATGGTTCGAATCCTGGACAGGGTGACTTGAAGATCATGCTGGACATGCGCATGTACATACCCAAAATCCCAAAAGGAGAAAGGAAGAGAAGGGATTGGGGCATGGCCATCCCCACCCTGGGTGTAGGGGGATGACTTCTCACATTCCCTCTCTTTGTCTCCAATGAGCGCACATGCCCTATGATAAGAATGGATGTTGTATGATAAACTATTAATATGATGATAATAAAGAAGCATTTTTAGATCTTACCAAAACATTTATTTATATTTTCATAAAACCAATCTATACCCTAGATCCTGTAATAGCTATTTTCCCCATGTTTGGTGAGATATTCTATCATTTTTCTGGTTCCTCCTTTTCTTTAGGTAAAAAAAAAATAAAATAAAATAAAAGATGAAAAATAAAACAATGAAAAAGCCTGAATTTGTTGGAAAGAGGTATGCTGCTGGTCATAGTGGGGTGTGCCATGGCTTAAAGTGGGGTATGCTTAGGGTCACAGTGAATGGTACTGTGGGTCTCAGTGAGTCTCTGGTTTGAGTGGGGTGTGGTGTGGTGTGCAGTTTTGTACGGTGTGTCACAGAGATGTGTGTGATTGTCTCAATGAGGTGGGCTAATGATCGCGGGGGTGGGGTGGGCCATGGTTTATAGTCGGGTGTGCTTCAGGTCCCTGTGAATGGTAATGTGGGCCTGAGTGAGGTGATCTCAATGAGGTGTACTGGTGATCACAGAGGGGTGGGTGAAGGCTTAAAGTGGGGTATGCTTTGGGTCACAGCAAATGACACTGTGGGTATCAGTGAGGTTTGCTGTGGATCTCAGTGAGATTAAGGTCTGTATCTAGTGTGCTGTGGTCGCAGTTTTGTGCAGTGGGTTTCAAAGATGTGTATGGTGGTCTCAAAGAGGTGTGCTGCTGGTCAAAGTGAGGTGTACCATGGCTTGAACTGGGGTGTGTTTTGGGTCACAGTGAATGGTACTGTGGGTCTCAGTGAGGTGTGCTGTGGATCTCAGTGTGATTTGCGTCTGAGTGAGAGGTGCTCTGGGTTGCACGTTTGTACAATGGATTTCAGGAATGTGTGCAGTTGTCTCAAAGAGGTGTGCTGATGTTCACAGTGGGGTGTGCCATGACTTAGAGTGGGGTGTACTTTGGGTTACAGTGAATGGTACTGTTGGTCTCAGTTAGGTCTGAGTTTGTGTGGGATGTGCTGTGGGTCACAATTTTGTGCGGTGGATTTCAGGAATATGTGTGATGGTCTCAAAAATATGTGCTAGTTGTTGCAGTGGGGTGTGCTGTAGTTTAAAATGGGGTGTACTTTGGGTCACAGTGAATGGTTCTCTGGATCTCAGTGAGGATTGATGTGGGCCTCAGTGAGGTTTGGGTCCGAGTGGATTGTGCTGTGGATCTTAGTATTATGTGATGGGTTTCAGGGATGTGTATAGTGGTCTCAATGAGGTGTGCTGCTGGTCTCAGTGGGGTGTGCCATGGCTTAAAGTGGGGTGTGCTTTGGGTCGCAGTGAATGGTACTGTGTGTCTCAGTAAGGTGTGCTGTGGGTATCAGTGTGGCTTGGGTCCGAGTGGGGTGTGTTGTGGGTCACAGTTTTGTGCAGTGGGTTTCAGGGATGTGCGCAGTGGTCTCAATGAGGTGTGCTGATGGTCACAGTGGGGTATGTCATGGCTTAAAGTGGGATGTGCTTTGGGTCAAGGTGAATGGTACTGTGGATCACAGTGATGTTTGCTGTGGGTCTCAGTGAGGTTTGGGTCTGAATGGGGAGGTGCTTTTGGTAATAGGTTTGTGCATTGGGTTTCAGGGATATGTGCAGTGTCTTAATGAGTTGTACTGCTAGTCACAGTTGGGTGTGCCACGGTTTAAAATGGGGTGTGTTTGGGGTCACAGTGAATGGTACTGTGGGTCTCAATGAGGTTTTGGTCTGAGTGGGGTGTGCTGTCATTCAAAGTTTTATGTGGTGGGTTTCGGGGGTCTGTGCAGTGGTCTCAATTAGGTGTGCTATTGTTTGCAGTGGAGTGTGCCATGGCTTAAACTGGAGTGTGCTTTGGGATGGTGTGAATGGTAATGTGAGTCTCAGTGAGGTTTCCTCTGGGTCTCAGTGATGTTTGGATCTGAGTGGGCTTTGCTGTGGGTGGCAGTTTTGTGCGAAGGTTTCAAGGATGTGTGTGGTGGTCTCAAAGAAGTGTGCTGCTGGTTGCAGTGGCATGTGCCATGGCTTAAACTATGCTGTTCTTTGGTTCACAGTGTATGGTACTGTGGGTCTCATTGACGTTTGCTGTGGGTCTCACTGAGGTTTGGGTCTGAGTGGGGAGTGCTGTGGGTCAAAGGTTGGTGTACTGAGTTTCAAGGATTTGTGCGGTGGTCTCAAAGTGGTGTGCTGCTGGTTACAGTTGGTTGTGCTGTGATTTAAAGTGGGGTTTCCTTTGAGTCACAGTGAATGGTACTGTGGGTCTCAGTGAGGTTTGTTGTGGGTGTCAGTGAGGTTTGGGTCTTAACAAGGGGTGCTGGGTGTCGCAGGTTTGTGTGATGTGAGCTTCAGAGATGTGTGTGCTGGTATCAATGAGGTGTGCTGCTGGTCCTCAGTTGGTCATGCCATCTTTTAAAGTGGGGTGTGCTTTGGGTCACAGTGAATGGTACTGTGGGTCTCAATGAGGTTTTCTGTGAACCTCGGTGAGGTTTGGTTCTGAGTGTGGTGTGCTGTGATTTGACATTTTGTGCAGTGGTTTTCAGGCATCCATGTGGTTGTGTCAATGAGGTATGCTGTTGGTTGTAGTGGATTGTGCCGTGGTTTATATCGGGGTGTGCTTTGGGTCATAGTGAATGGTACTGTGGCCACAGTGATGTATGCTGTGGGTCTCAGGTTTGTGTGGTTGGTTTCAGGAATGTGTGTGGTGGTCTCAATGAGGTGTGTGACTGGTCGCAGTGGGGGTGCTCCATGGCTTAAAGTAGGGTGTGCTTTGGTCAGAGTGATTTTATTGTGGGTTCCAGTTTGAGTGGGGTGTGCTGTGGTGCATAGCTTTGTGTGGTGGGTTACAGAGATGTGTGTGGTGGCCTCAGTGAGGTGTGCTGCTGTTCACAGTGGGATGTGCCATGGCTTAAAGTCGGGTCTGCTTTGGAACACAGTGAATGGCACTGTGGGTCTCAGTGATGTTTGGATCTGAGTGGGCTGTGCTGTGGGTGGCAGTTTTGTGCTGTGAGTTACAGGGATGTGTGTGGTGGTCTCAATGAGGTGTGCCGCTTGTTGCAGTGGGGTGTGCTGTGGCTTAAAGTGGGGTGTGCTTTGGGTCATAGTGGATGGTATTGTGGGTCTCAGGTGGGTCTAAGTAAGGTTTGAATTGAAATGGGATGCGCTCTTGGCCTCAATTTTGTGCAGTGAGTTACAGGAATGTGTGCTCATCCCAAAAATATGTGCCGCTGGTCGCAGTGTGGTGTCCTGTTGCTTAAAGTAGGGTGTGCTTTGCATCACAGTGAATGGTACTGTGCATTTCAGTGACGTTCTGCAATAATGCATTTAGAAAGATTTATACTGAATTGGTAGCCAAATTTATAACAGCTTTATCTCTAAAGTTTAAATGATTTTGAAAAAATAAATATGTTCACAAATTACTTATACAATAAACATTTTAGTTTAATAGATCTTTTTTTGGAGAGGTTTTTGTTATAGGGCATGCATGCTCACCAGAAAGACAGAGAAAGACAGAGAGAAAGAAAGTGAGAAATCACCCCCCAGGAGGCATGACCATGCTGCAATCCCTTCTCCTCCATTCTCCTCTCAGGATCTTGGGCACACACACACATGTACTAGGTGTGAGTTCAAGCCACTGGGTCTGGGAGTCGAACTGTGGTTGACTACATGGGAGTCTAGCGGCATAGCCATTACACCACCTGCTGGTGGAAATACTGCTCCACATCTCTTGTCTTATGTCCTTGAAACAAAGGTACCTGTATCCAAATGCTGCAAGTCTGAGAGTTGTGCTGCCTGTAGTAGACCTACCTGAGAGTTGAAGGATGATTTGAGAGGGAGAGCACTGAGATAATGAAAGGACAGCCCGTGGCCTGCCTGGTAGTGCTGTAGTTAAGGGAACCTGATTCTACATGGTTAACTGCAGTTTGAATCTTGGCCCCTGAGACTTGAAAAACATGCTGGGTGCATGTGCCCAAAATCTGGATGAGAGGAAGTGGAAGAAGGATTGCAATGCGGCCCTTCCCCATTGGAGGGTGCTTTCTCTGGCTCTTTCTGGTGAGCACATGCACCTTCTGGGGAAAAAAAGTCCAGCTGCAGTGGTACAGGTATAGGATGCTGCTGAGTATGGGTAGAAATGGGTTTGGATTCTGGCTTGACCCGAATGTGCTGGGGTGCACCTGTGTGGGTCTCATTGACGTTTGCTGTGGGTCTCACTGAGGTTTGGGTCTGAGTGGGGAGTGCTGTGGGTCAAAGGTTGGTGTACTGAGTTTCAAGGATTTGTGCGGTGGTCTCAAAGTGGTGTGCTGCTGGTTACAGTTGGTTGTGCTGTGATTTAAAGTGGGGTTTCCTTTGAGTCACAGTGAATGGTACTGTGGGTCTCAGTGAGGTTTGTTGTGGGTGTCAGTGAGGTTTGGGTCTTAACAAGGGGTGCTGGGTGTCGCAGGTTTGTGTGATGTGAGCTTCAGAGATGTGTGTGCTGGTATCAATGAGGTGTGCTGCTGGTCCTCAGTTGGTCATGCCATCTTTTAAAGTGGGGTGTGCTTTGGGTCACAGTGAATGGTACTGTGGGTCTCAATGAGGTTTTCTGTGAACCTCGGTGAGGTTTGGTTCTGAGTGTGGTGTGCTGTGATTTGACATTTTGTGCAGTGGTTTTCAGGCATCCATGTGGTTGTGTCAATGAGGTATGCTGTTGGTTGTAGTGGATTGTGCCGTGGTTTATATCGGGGTGTGCTTTGGGTCATAGTGAATGGTACTGTGGCCACAGTGATGTATGCTGTGGGTCTCAGGTTTGTGTGGTTGGTTTCAGGAATGTGTGTGGTGGTCTCAATGAGGTGTGTGACTGGTCGCAGTGGGGGTGCTCCATGGCTTAAAGTAGGGTGTGCTTTGGTCAGAGTGATTTTATTGTGGGTTCCAGTTTGAGTGGGGTGTGCTGTGGTGCATAGCTTTGTGTGGTGGGTTACAGAGATGTGTGTGGTGGCCTCAGTGAGGTGTGCTGCTGTTCACAGTGGGATGTGCCATGGCTTAAAGTCGGGTCTGCTTTGGAACACAGTGAATGGCACTGTGGGTCTCAGTGATGTTTGGATCTGAGTGGGCTGTGCTGTGGGTGGCAGTTTTGTGCTGTGAGTTACAGGGATGTGTGTGGTGGTCTCAATGAGGTGTGCCGCTTGTTGCAGTGGGGTGTGCTGTGGCTTAAAGTGGGGTGTGCTTTGGGTCATAGTGGATGGTATTGTGGGTCTCAGTGAGGGTTGCTGTGGGTCTAAGTAAGGTTTAAATTGAAATGGGATGCGCTCTTGGCCTCAATTTTGTGCAGTGAGTTACAGGAATGTGTGCTCATCCCAAAAATATGTGCCGCTGGTCGCAGTGTGGTGTCCTGTTGCTTAAAGTAGGGTGTGCTTTGCATCACAGTGAATGGTACTGTGCATTTCAGTGACGTTCTCTGTGGGTGTCATTGAGGTTTGGGTCTGAGTGGGGTATGCTTTGGGTCACAGTGCATTGTACTGTGGGTCTCAGTGAGGTTTGGTTTTGAGTGGGGTGTGCTGTGGGTCACAGATTTGTGCAGTGGGTTTCAGGGATGTGTGTTGTGGTCCCAATGAGGTATGTTGCTGGTCGCAAAGGGGTGTGTCATGGCTTAAAATGGGGTGTGCTTTGGGTCACAATGAATGGTGTTTTAGGTCTTAGTGAATGGTACTTTGGGTCTCAGTGAGGCTTGCAGTGAGTCTCAGTGTGATTTAGGTCTGAGTAGCCTGTACTGTGGGTTGAAGTTTTGTGCAGTTGGTTTCAGGGATTTGTGCAGAAGTTTCAATAAGGTGTGCTGCGGGTTGCATTGGTTTTGTCATGGCTTAAAGTGGTATGTGCTTTGGATCACTGTCAATGGTAATGTGGGTCTCAGTGAGGTTTTCTGTGGGTCTCAGCAATGTTTGGTTCTGAGTGGGTTGTGCTGTTATTGGCAGTTTTGTGTGGTTGGTTTCAGGGATGTGTGCGGTGGTCTCAATCAGGCATGCTGTTGGTTGCAGTGGGATGTGCCATGGCTTAAAGTGCTGTGTGCTTTGGGTCACAGTGAACGGTACTGTGGGTCTCAGTGAGGATTTCAGTGGGTCTCAGTGAGGTTTGAGTCTGAGTAGGGTGTGCTGTGGGTCACAGTTTTGTGCAGTGGGTTTCACGGATGTGTGCGGAGGTGTCAATGAGGTGTGCTGCTGGTCACATTGGGAATGCCATAGCTTAATGTGGGGTGTGCTTTGGGTAACAGTGAATGGTACTATGGGTCTCAGTGGGATTTGGGTCTGAGGGTGGTGTGTGGTTAGTTGTAGTTTGTGTGGTGGGTTTGAGGAATTTTTGTGGTGGTCTCAATGAGGTGTGCTGCTCATTGCAGTGGGGTGTGCTGTGATTTAAAATGAGGTGTGTTGGGACTAGCTGTTAGCATAATGGCTATGTCTCTAATCTCCCATGTAGTTGACCACAGTTCGAGTCCTGGACCTGTCAGCTTAAACTCACACTAGGTGCATGTGTGTTCGTGGTCAGTATCCCGAGAGGAGAATAGAGGGGAAATGATTGTGGCATGGCCACCCCTCCCCCAGGGGGTGATTTCTCACTTTCTATCTCTCTGTCTCTCTCTGTCTTTCTGACGAGTGCACGCGCCCTGTAGCAAAAAAAAAAAAAAAGAAAATAGGGGTATGTTTTCAGTCACAGTGAATTGTACTGTGGGTCTCAGTGAGGTTTCTGTGGGTCTCAGTGAGGTTTGGGTCTGAGTGGAGTGTGCTGTAGGTAGTAGTTCTGTGCAGTGGGTTTCAGGAATGTGTGTGTTGGTCTCAATGAGGTGCTGCTGCTCGCAGTGGTGTGTGCTTTGGGTTAAAGTGGGGTGCGCTGTGGGTCTCAGTAAATTGTACTGAGGTTCGCTGTGGGTCTCCAAGAGGTTTGGGTCTGAGTGGGGTGTGCTGTGGGTCAGTTTTCTGCTGTGGTTCTCATTGATGTGTGCTGTGCTCTCAATGATGTGCTATGTGGGCTGCAGATAGGTGTGCTGTAGGTTAAAGTGGGGTGTGCTGTTTTTCTCAGTGAATTGTGCTATTGCTCTCAGTGATGTTTGCAGTGGGTGTCTGTGAGATTTGGGTTGCAGTGGAGCATGCTTTGGATTAAAATGGTCTGTGCTTTGGGTCACAAAGAATTGTACTGTGGGTCTCAGTGAGGTTCTGGTTTGAGTGGGTTGTGCTGTGGTGCGCAGTTTTTTGCAGTGGGTTACAGAGATGTGTGCAGTGCTGCTGTTTGCAGTGGGGTGTCCCTTGGTTTAAAGTGGGGTGTGCTTGAGACCAGTCCTTCCCTGCAGGAGCCCTTCAGCTCCATCCCTAGGCCCCTGACTGGCAAGGGAAACTTAGGCAGGGTCACTGCTGCCCCCAGCCCACTTCCAGGCTCCCAAGACCAGGACCCTTCTCCCTTAAAGGTAGGTGGGGTTTCATTTATTTCTTTTTTTTTCTTTGTTCTTCCTTTTTGTTTTGCTAATACCCTCCTCCCTCTTGTCCCACAGACTAGACAGGCCCTTCCCTGTAGGAGCCCTGCAGCTCCATCTCTAGGCTCCTGGCTGGCAAGGAAAACTGAGGCAAGAGTGTTACTGCCCCCAGCCCACTTCCAGCCTCCCAAGACCAGGATCCCACCCCCTTAAAGGTAGGCAGGGTTTCATTTATTTTATTTTTTTTCTTTGCTCTTCCCTTTTGTTTTGCTAATACCCTCCTCTCCCTTGTACCACAGACCAGACCAGCCCTTCCCTGCAAGAGCCCTGCAGCTCCATCTCTAGGCCCCTGGCAAAATCACATGCCAAGCTATAGCATGACATGTGACTTTTTCTTTAATCTCCTCTATACTCTTTTCTTTCCTCTTACATTATCCTCTATTATTCATCCTCTACCCTTCCAGAGGGATTAGACAGATCCAGAATCACAGTTCTGAAATTTCCTAGTATTGTAAGGTTCCCTGGGATCCTTCTCTGTACTGAACTCCCTGTGAATATGTAGATAATACTCTTCAGATACTTGAATAGAGTACCCCTCTTGAGACCACATTGGTAAAAACAACGGAAGAGAGACTTCTGCATACATAAATTCACAGCAAAAGGGAACCACACTTGCTCCTGGCCAAAAAAAAAGTTCTAAGAGGTATTCAAAAGTAAATATGTCTTTAAATGGCTAGAAGTAGAAGAAGAGTTTAATTATTCTTCCTTTGAATCTAAGCTGCTTTAGTGGCTTGCATGTCTAATACAGTGTAGAGGAAGTGACATTCTGTTAACTTCCTGAAGTAAGATTCAAAGAAGCCTTGAAACACTTCATGGGTCTTTTAGAATCCTATTCTGAGATGTTCTCTCTTATAATATTGCCACCACACTGTGAGAAGTCCAAACCACATACTAGTTACCACATATAGGTGTGGGCTATATATAATATAAGTGTGCCAACATCCAGAATCAACTGGTAGTTATGTGAATAATCAATCTTAGATGTCTATCACAGTTACACTTTCAAATGAGTGCAGTCCCAGATGAGCTAAAACACATGGGAGGTGGTCGCAAGATGGCAAAATAGGAAGAATAAAAGTGATGGTTTGGAATAGTGTATACTAACTTGCAAAGACTTTCCCTCAAGTTCCCTGTGATCAGGAAAATTCACAACCTCCATGTTCTCCTTGAGAACGGACAGAGAAGACTGAAATATACATTTAATATTTAGACTTTTGGGGGGACTATCTGAGGGACAGATTGGGGTCTAATTGTCTTTAAGCTCTGACAGGACCAGCATACTCTAGCTATCTAGGGGCCACTGAGAATTAACAAAAGAGCTGG